GGAATAAGGGAATCAGTAAACAAACATAACCCCTCCGGCTCCCCCCTGGCGGCAGCAGAGCCCCTCACTACACAGTTTACGACGTGAAGGATGACTCCAGGAGTCAAAAGGCCGCGCGGCGCTCCGGTGGTCGGTCTCTGGGTGCACACACACACACACACACACACACACACACACACACACACACACACACACACACACACACACACACACACACACACACAACATACCAATTACGACCATAAAAATAACAAGTTTCTCATCCGGTAAAAAAAAAAAGTTCCTCACATAAAAATGAACTTGTCTCTCCCGTGATAAGAGTGGCAGGGTGTGCGTGTGTGTAGTGACAAGCCGGAGGTCACGTTAGCATCAGGAAAACCTATTTGGAGTCAGGGTTAGTTCCGGGAAATGTGTAGTGTACATGGCGGGGAAATAGACCGCCAACCCCCCTCTTTTAATGATATATATAGGTCAGGGATATATACTGAAGGGGGGTATATTTCAAGAGGGGGTTTACGTGAAGATTAGCCACCCAGGTTACTTCATTTTATAATTAATCAACCTAATGTTAACCTAACCTAACCATCTTGCGCTAGTCAGGCCGCACCTCGATTATGCGGTTCAGTTCTGGTGCCCTTATTATATAGAATGGATATCAATTAACTGGAGTCGGTGCAGCGAAGAATGACGAAAATGATTCCGGGACTTAGAAACCTTCCATATCAAAATAGATTAAAGAAACTTAACTTGCATTCCCTAGAAAGACGAAAAGTGCGGGGAGATGTGATAGAAGTATTTAAGTGGGTGAAAAGAATCAATAAAGGTGATATAGATAAAGTTCTTATAATATCCGAGCAGGATAGGACTCGGAGCAACGGATTTTAGTTGGACAAGTTTAGGTTTAGGAGGGAGATAGGAAGGAACTGGTTCACAAATAGGGTGGTGGACGAGTGGAACAAGCTTAGCAACTTTGTAGTAAGTGCTGGAAGTTTTAAAAGGAGGCTAGATAGATTCATGGATGATAGAGAGTGGTAGTAATTCTCGACAGGAGCTGCCATGCACAGGCCAACCGGCCTATTGCAGACTCCTTATTTTCTTATGGAGATTATTTCACCTGATGATTTAAACACCCTAACCTAACCTAACCTAACCTAACCTAACCTAACCTAACCTAACACCCTCAAGAGTCGTGAAAACCACAAACCTCAAAATCCTACTTGGTCAAGATATTCTCATTGGTAACCTTGTTTTGAGAGAGAGAGAGAGAGTGTGTGTGTGTGTGTGTGTGTGTGTGTGTGTGCGTGTGTGTGTGTGTGTCACCAATACCTTCGAAGGACTCACAACGCCAGATCAACACCACCCAATATCATCAACACCATACCTGTTCAACTCTCCTGACGTGTATAGGCAAAACAAAAGGTAAACAATAACCTGTAATTTGAGATTAAAAAAAAAAGACCAAGGATTTTTTGTTCCTTTTAGCTTTTGTGTGAGGGAAAATGTTCAAGAGACACCACAAGAGAGGACGTGTTCATGTTAACTAAAGTATTACCTGGGGTGATATGAAGGTGTTTTAGGCATTGTATCAAAGGAGAAAGGAAGGAGTGAATATGTTATCGGGAGGAAGAGAAGAGGAGGAGGAGGAGGAGGTCGTGGTAGATATAGGAAGGGTTAGGTGCAAGCAAGAGCCAGAAGCTGTCCATCACAAATATCGTTTCTGTAAGTCTCCTGCCACACACACACACACACACACACACACACACACACACACACACACACACACACACACACACACACACACACACACACACACACACACACAGGCAGGCAGTAGAGCAGCGGCGTCAAAAGAGAACAGACATCATAACAAAAAGCCGTATAGGCCTACAACGATTGACTGGTCACACCGGGAGAATGAGATGAAGTAAAAGTGATAATAAAAGCAGATGACAGTGACGCCCAGCCGTGTGGCGCCGCTCACCGAGGACGTTTTATGTCGGTGCGGCCCTTTGTGGTTTTATGTCGCTGTTACGAGAGTTCTATCGCTCTTAAAATAGCTCTTACACGTATTCAGCGAGGGGTTTGGGAGAGTTGGTGTGGAGGGGAGGGGGAAGGATAAGAGATGGGATGAAAGAGGATGGGGAGGAAGAGGAAGGAAGAAAAGGAGGATCAGGAAGAGCAGAGGAGGAGGTAAGCTTCGGGTGGTGAGAGAGTGTTGGACCTACTTACTCTATTGTCGCTACTGGCACGTGGAGGCAAGGGTGTCTGTCTGTCACGTGTTGTTTGGCAGGAGTCTCCTTCACCTTAGAAACCTTCCATATCAAGATAGGTTAAAGAAACTTAACTTGCATTCCCTAGAAAGACGAAGAGTGCGGGGAGATATGATAGAAGTATTTAAGTGGGTGAAAGGAATCAATAAAGGGGATATAGATAAAGTTCTTATAATATCCGAGCAGGATAGGAGTCGGAGCAACGGATTCAAGTTGGATAAGTTTAGGTTTAGGAGGAAGATAGGAAGGAACTGGTTCACAAATAGGGTGGTGGACGAGTGGAACAAGCTTAGCAACTTTGTAGTAAGTGCTGGAACACTGGAAAGTTCTAAAGGAGGCTAGATAGATTCATGGATGATAGAGAGTGGTAGTAACTCTCGACAGGAGCTGCCATGCACAGGCCAGCCGACCTATTGCAGACTCCTTATGTTCTTATGTCACCACACCACACCATACACCACCATACACCACCACCACCACCACCTCTCCTCCTCCTCAGGGACCCGGCAGTAACGACCTAAGATATCCATTAACCAGCCTTCAGGATCACCAGAAGGCGCATTAGAGGGGAAGAGGCGGTAAGCCATTGCAGCCAGGCCTTAATGTCCGATGTGGCAGGGTGGGGAGGGGGGAGATCTCGCCCATACAGAAAAGGCACATCATGACAGAAAATGGAAAGGGGGAGGGGGGTGGGTTAGGGGGAAAGGGGGACAAAATAAACACCCGTGAATATGGTCCTTAAACGGGTGTCACCTAGAGGAGGTATTCTTCAAAGATGGCAGCCATGACGAAAGGGCTTGGGGGGGAGGGGGGGAGGAGGCCTAGACGAGGTGAGATTCCTGTGGGGAAATTCTCAGCTGCCAGTGGTGAAAAAATCGATAGGGAATGAGATAGATAATGAACAATGGGATAATAATGATGAAGAAGAAGAATAAAAACAAGAAATTAACGATAACAAGGCATAAATCACACAAGCTTAACGTCCTCAGGTGAAGGTAGATACATTTCTTATAAGACACAATAATAACAATCCTCTAATCCTATCTGTTCAGAGGCTTACGTGTGACAAGAGCCAAGACTTATAACCCTCCCTTCCTTACCTCACAAAATACTAAGTTCATATGTATCTTAAACACCACAATGTACTTATGTATCTTGTGTTGTGTGACTTTATTATAATGTGTATCACCAATGTTAAAACACCCAAATGCCTTGTTATATTGTTGTAACCATGGCCACTGTATTCTGTTCTGTGTACCTAACTAATCACACACACACACACACACACACACAGGTTAATAAACGTAATCAGGATCTTATCATAAAATATAATCACATCTTTGTTAACATTATAGGATCACAAACACGTACGATAACATATTCTGTTCTGTAACATTAAGTAATCGACACAGTGGAGATCAGATGACTTTCAATCGTCAAAAGTTTGTAAGTTTAATCGTTTCCTCTTGGGGTATGAGGTGGTATCTAGCTGTTAAGGGAAGAAACTGTTCTGTAAACCATGTGACCTCAGCTTAGTTAACCCATGCGAACCTAACCTACACCCAGTGACCCTTACCACACACCACCTACCTAACCCGTGCATTCTTTTGCTGCCGACGGACGCTTGGCTCCATCATCGTCAGTTCCTCCGTGACGCTGCTGCTGTTAAGTGTCAACACAACACCCGTGCCTCCTGCTGGCAGCCTACTTTCATTATTTACAGGATGTTTACTTTCTCCTGCTTACACTACTCCCCTAATTAACGTGGCAACCATCAATGTCGGTGAAGATGAAACACGGTCAGAACTTAGACCTCCCGCTTCGGGCGCTACGAGCCGTCACTAGCGTCTCACTTTGTTTACACTAAGCGTTTCCATGCCTTCAATCCAGATTCTAATGGATGCGCATGGATCCTCTTACCCGAGATAGCAGAACGCATCCAGTTACAGTGTAGATTTAAAGGAACTAATGAGCGGTGGATGATAACCTTGTCGGCTCACCCCATGATAAACAAACAGCTCTCGGGGTAGGAAATACTGTATCAATGGTCGCCATCTTTGTGTGTTTACATCAATGAAAGTTTAATACACACACACACACACACACACACGTAGCTGTTAATCTTACCACTTATTAAATGATTTAACTCCTTGAGAATGATGAACTAACCCCTTGAATACAATGAATTAACTTGAGTACAATGACTTAATCACTTGAGTACGGTGACTTAAGACAACATACTAGAGTAATTCCTAGTACTCAGGAGGTCGGGATCGTACTCAAGATCCATAAACCACCTGTTACATATGTCTATATATTTACATAACGTTATAATGTCTGATGTATATTCATAATGTATCAGTGACTCTTGTATGAGCAGTTATGGATATGAATTATATTAGTTCTCTATAATTTCTAATATTCTATAATCAAATAATATTATGTATTTATATAATGAAGTTTTGAGTTATGAATATTCTAATTGCATAAGATGTACTGTGCAATATTTCTTTATTTACACTGTGAGATCTTCCTCTGGGATGCGAGACGAGGAAAGTGACTGTTATCTTATTATATATATTATTTATGTCATTTTGGGTATTAATTTATTCACCCTTATTAGGAGTGAATATTAGGTGATACTTTTGTGAGACAGACAGACAGACAGACAGACAGAGAGACAGACAGACAGACAGACATCAGGGAGGAACGAGGAGAGATCAGAATTACCTTACTCATCATTATCGCACCTCGGTCCCAGGTCTCTTGGCAGTACTCAGCTTACCTGTAAGAAGGGAAAGAAAACACGTGTTAAAATTACTACCAACACACATGCTTTAAAACAAGGGTATATAAACATGTTAATTACTATGTTAAGAAGAGGTGATGCATGATAGTTTTGCTAATATTTTCTACTGTATTTACTGAGGATAAAAAGATATTACACATTCTTATTCCATATTGGTAACTTTGAAAGGAATTATTTGTTATTTGCTGTTGAAAATTGTTAATGTAGTCATGTCGGTTATTTATCACATTCTGTCATGAGGTATGATGATTTAACCCCCTTAAGTATGATGATTTAACCCCCTTGAGTATGATGATTTAACCCCTTGAGTATGATGATTTAACCTCCTTGAGTATGATGATTTAACCCCCTGAGTATGATGATTTAACCCCCTTAAGTATGAAGATTTAACCCCCTTAAGTATGATGATTTAACCCCTTGAGTATGATGATTTAACCCCTTGAGTATGATGATTTAACCCCCTTGAGTATGATGATTTAACCCCTTGAGTATGATGATTTAACCCCCTTGAGTATGATGATTTAACCCCTGATAATGATGATTAACCCCTATGATGATTTAGAACACCTTGAGTATGATTATTTAGAACTCGTCACCCCCCCCCCACACCCCCTCCCCATAGAACCCCTCAAACCCACCCCTCACCCCCCCCCCCCATAGAACACCTCGTCACCCCTTCCCACCTCCCCTACTTCGCCTCACCTAATGGATTAATTTAGCAGAGGTGAGTTACGACTGCCCCAAATACCCAGGGTGGCGTTGGGCAAGGTGAAGAGAGTATTTATACACGAGAGAGTGACTTTGTAGGTGGGTGAGTGGGTGGGGGGTGAGGGTGGGGGGGGGTAGAGGGTGGGGGGTGAGGGGTGGGGGTGAGGGGTGGGGGTGAGGTGGGGGAGGGGGTCACCGTCCTTCTGTGGCAAAGACCTGAGGCGCCGCTTTAGGAGGGTGGGGGAGGGTGTGTGTGTGTGTGCGACTCTCTCTCTCTCACTAGACCAACCATAGACCAAGGTGGCGCCTCACCCCGTCAGAGCCAGACTTGAGGTTATTTATTTATTACTTGATTAATATATACGTGTCTCCACCCCCCTCCTCCCTTCCATCCCCCTCCTCCTCTCTTCCATCCCCCCCTCCTTCCATCCCCCCCTCCTCCTCCATCCCCCTCCTCCTTTCCTTCCTCCGAGTTCATATGACGTCCTCGCCTCTCACTTCATCCTCTCCTTGTGTTCTCCTGTCCTCCTATTTTCGTATTCCTTCCTCTGTTGTCTTTTCCTTCTCTCCTCTTTTTCACATATTCTGTCACTATTCTCTCTCACACACACACGGCCACAACCCCACCCACATATCTTCACCATCAATCTCTGCTCTAACTTTTACAGGTTTTTCCCACCAAAGATCTTCCCATCACCACTACTACCACCCACAACCACCACAACCACCATCAGTACTACAAACCCAAACAACAACCACCATCACCCAACAGTAGGACTACCACAATACGGAGTTCATGACCACAACCTAACGACACACTCCCTCATCCTGGCCGCAATCCGTCCCCTGCGGGAACCTGAGGCCCCCAGCAAATACTACTACTACACTAGCCGCACCTCGCGTCTCTGTATAGTAGTAATGGTGCTGTAGAGGTGGTTGGTTGTAGCGTGTTGAACATTACCATTACCAAACAACAACCGCATGTAGTACTGTAGTGGTAGTCTGTTTAACCACTACTACTACCACTACCACCCACTTGTAGCCATGATGGTGGTGGTGGTGGTATAGCAGGCGAGTGTACAACTACCATTCATCATCAGTACCACCACCACCCTGTTCACACACACACACACACACACACACACACACTACCACCAGCACCACAACCATCACGGTGTACTGAATGTTTCGTGACGTGTGTGTGTGAGCTATGATCCAATGGTGCACACGCGTGTCAGGGAGCTGAAGTGTGGAATGTATGGGTGCGTGGGGGTGAGGCAGGGAAGAGAAGGGGTGAGGCAGGGAGAAGTAGGGGTGAGGCAGGGAGGAGGTGAGGGTGAGAGAGGGAGGGAGGTGAGGCATAGGTGCAGGTAATGATAGATTTTACTCAGGTAGGAGGGTAGGGGCCTTGGCTTTCAACACACACACACCACTATCTCACGACTACTATTACTACTACTACTACCACTACTACTACCACCACTACTACTACCACCACTACTAACACCCCCTCTATCATCCTCTCCCATGTTTATTGATAAGCTTCACCCACATCATTTACTCCTCCCAGGTGGCTGTCCCTCACCCACGTGTTAACTCCCACTCTCTCTCTCACCCCTGCTGTGATGAGGTAGGTAACCCTCTCACCCATTTCTATATTGGGTAGAGAGGGCGGAGGAGTCAGCCCCCCCCCTACACACACACAACCTTCTCCCCCTCTCACCCCCTCCTCCCTCTTATCCCATTCCTTCTCAGGCGAGGGTGGAGGACCTATACCTAACTCCCTACCCTTTTTTTACCACCCCACTCCCTCCCCACCCCACCCCCCCCTCTCCCTATCCACCTACCCTCCCAATCTATCCACATGATTGACCTTACTCCGAAATACACACACACACACACACACACACACACACACACACACACACACACACACCCATCACTACCAACCACGCCCATGGCTAAACAAAGCACGTCAACACCTACCTACCTACGCACCACACACGCCCACCTCGTCACCGTAACACGCGCCCACAACAAGGCTCACACCTCCGTTCTAAACCTGTCCGAAATACGAATCCTTTCCCTCAACAGACGCACTGACAGGTAACCCAAGACCTGTCCACCTGACCCCGCAAGGCTCAAAATTGGTAAACATGGCAGAGGGGAGAGTCGACCTTAAGGCATGTTGTGGGATAGCATAGTGTTGGCGCTAAGTTTAAAGAGGCGGAATTCACTAGGAGATCTGATGTCGGTGTCAAGGTGTTCCCGCTGGCTCGTACTGTTCCTCAATGTTAAATGTGGCTTCAACTCTACCTACTGTCTGTCTGGTCTGTTCCACTCTTTGGACGGTAAGGTGAATGTCGTCTAGATGGATGAACTGCCCAGATGATTGGCTGGTGACTGACTGAAATGGTGAATCACTCTCCTTATTTATCTCAACTTTCTCCCATCCTTCACCTCCACTCTCTCTCTCATCCACCTTCACTCTGTCCTCATCCATCTCCACTTCATCCATTCTCTTCTTCTCTCCTCCTCCTCCACCACCACCACCACCACCACCACCACCACCACCACCACCACCACCAATCACCACCACTACTATCACCACCACCACTACTACTACTACTACTACTACTACATACTACCTACTACCACCACCACCACCACCACCACCACTACCACTACTACTACTACCACCACCACCACCCCACCACCACCACCACCACCACCACCACCACCTCCTCCAAGACTGAGGGCATGTCTCACTGACACACACCTGGCCTAGTTAACAGCATGTGACGAGGTGGTGCCCGCCTTCCTGGAGCCCAGGAGCCCACAGGAGTTGGTTCCTGCACAACACAACGGTGCTTAGGTTAGGTTAGGGTTAGGTTAGTACAACACAACAGTGAACGGTGGTCATAAATTCACCTGGTCCCTATCTGCTCATAGGAGTCGATTGGTCCCTCACTCTCGGCTCTATAGGAGCTCGATTGGTCCCTATCTCGGCTCAGGAGGCGATTTCGTCCTATCTCGGCTTATAGGAGTTAATTGGTCCCTATCTCGGCTTAGAGTCAATTGGTCCTCATCTCGGCTTATAGGAGTTAATTGGTCCTCATCTCGCTTAGGATAATTGTCCTTATCTCCGCTTATAGGGAGTCAATTGGTCCCTATCTCGGCTTCAAGGGTTAATATGAGGTGTGTTTACCAGGTAGGGTTAATTAGGGATCACCTGGTTAACACTATATATGAGATTACCTGGAGGCGTGTCCCCCCCCCACTAGCTTATTTCACCTGAATATTAACTACCCTAACGCTACCTGGAGGGATTAGGTAGGTAGGGTATCTTTAAATCTACTCACGATCAACAGGCTAGGAACCCTAGATCTACTACTACTACTACTACTACTACTACTACTACTACTACACACAAAACACACAATTACGGTGGACGTAACAAAGAGAGAGAGAGAGAGAGAGAGGGAGATAACCCCGACGTACACTGAACACCAAAGAGAGAGAAGAAGAAGGATGAGGAAGACAAGAGGAGAGGAGAGGAAGACAAGATGGATGAGGAGGAGGAGGAGGAGGAGGAAGATATCTGTTGTTGACGTATTCTTCCTGTACAGGCGTCTAACTACAGCTACAGTGACTTGTAGAAGGAGAAGGAGGAGGCCATTTGTCATCTCCTGTGAATCAATCAACTCCTGTGGGTAATATATAGCTGATGCCCCCACCCGCCACACCCTGATCTATATTATTTTAGTTCTCTCTATATATCTCACTGTTATTTTAGTTCTCTCTATATATCTCACTGTTATTTTAGTTTCTCTATATATCTCACACTCTAAGGTTCACCAATGGCCTACAAAAATTATAATTCATTTTCTTTGTTATTTTAATATGATAAAATGGTGTTCTGATAAAAGTGGTGGGGGGTGAGGAGGTAAGGGGGGTGGTGAGGGGGTGAAAGGGGGTGGTGAGGGTGAAGAGGGGAGGTGAGGGGTGAAGAGGGGAGGTGAGGGGGTGAAGAGGGGGGTGAGGGTGAAGAGGGGTGGTGAGGGGTGAAGAGGGGGAGAGGGGTGAAGAGGGGGTGGTGAGGGGTGAAGAGGGGGAGGTGAGGGGTGAAGAGGGGGTGAAGAGGGGAGGTGAAGAGGGGAGGTGAGGGGGAATGGGGGTGGTGGTTGTGAAGGAGGGTGGTTGGAAGGTGATAGGGTTCAAAAGTAAATGACTATCTCTACATTATTCATCATTCATAATCTTATATA